CCGGCGGACGCTTGGGCCGATATTCTCTTATTAGCCCACAAATATGTGATGGAAGATATCCATGAGGGAAGTCTACAGCAACTCAGAGCTAGCACGCCTCCGTTGAATCCGATACGGATGATAAGGGTAGCGTTAGAGGTGGACTCACAAGAATTGTACCAAGAAGCTGTCAACGAGCTTGCGAAAACCGACAACATGGTGTCGCTAGAGGAGGCCCGCCATATTGGGATCGAGGCCTTTTACGAAATATGCTCCCTCCAGTTGAAGCGAGAGCGCCAGTTACGGGCACATGCACATGCACCTCCTCCACCCTTCAGCCCGTTCCAGCAAGTCATATTTCAGCAACCTCGAAGATGGTAGGTAGACGACAAATGACTGATTTTTCTATCCTAGAAAAATCCTGAACCAGACACAAGCTTATTTCCTTCAGAAGAGTGAACAGTTGAGACGAGGATTATTATTGCCGTACTCTAGAATGCAACGTAGCTTCTCATCGTTCTATTCGACGGTATCGGGCTCCAGAGACTTTTGCCGTGGAGCGGGAATTTGAGAACAAGAGCACTGGTATCGAATCTTTCGGCAAATAGAATTGAAGACGCTCAGAAAAATACAATATAAGGGCAGCAGCGGGGGGTAGAGTCAAGTTTAGCGAATTTTCCGGAACAAATCGAGGCATATACGCAACTAAACCCAAGTGTATACATAAGGAAACACAAGTGTAACTATCTTGAAATCCTCTAATGTCATTCTGGACGTAGTCTTTCTTCTTCGATATATGTACGTCTCTAGAAGTGAGAAGTGAACTCCAGAATTCTGCCAGGACGTACTATGAGATGCGAACCACATACCAAAGGTATCCATTGTGACTTGGAGCATTAGATCCTCGACTGTTCGTCTTCCCTTAAAGACATTCTGAATTGATATTCCACAAAGGACTCCCCTGCAGCATCCTCAAGACGTTTTTCAGGACCGACACCTTTCACTTTGAGGCCACTGCTGCCAGACCAAATGTGGCCCATTCGAATTGTACGAATATTTGGCCAATCGGGTACATCGAGCTCGAGAACATTATAAAATCCAGGTTGCCATCTAAACCGAGGGTATGAATTGGACGACTATACGGAGGAGGGAATTCCTGTGACATAGTCACATAGAGAAGTTCCAATTGGGACATAGAGACCAGATGTCCTGCTGTAGGCCCGGCTCTAATTGTAGACCAAAAAAATAGAGAGATCTCAACTCTTTGCCTGCCACTTGAATGAAATCCCTACAGAAATTGTTAAAAGATTTTACTTCTGTAGTATTCCAGAGGTCATGTTTTAGGCAAACGTGACGAAGCCTAAGAGGAGGCCAATGTTCGAGTGATGCGACTGGGTGGTTTAGCCCAAGGATTAGAGTTTCCAAATTGAGAGGGATATGCGACGGCAATAACGGAGCAGATGTCTGGAAATCAACAACGTAGTGCCGTAGAGCCGGGAGCGAGCGACCAATTTGGGTAAGAGTTTTCAGAGAGCTCCCTGCCATGCGTATTCCTTGGAGGGTCACCAACTTGGAAAAGATCGGAAACGGAAAATTGTTTTGATAGAAATTACTTCGGTTGCAGCTGAATATCCTAGCTTCGACTGCCTCTAACGGTTGAAGGATAGTCCAGCAAAGCCCTTGGAATTCGTACAAGGGCCCTTCGTCTGATCGAGGATGATGCAATAGACACTCCTCGCATAAATTAGGGGGATGAACCCCAAGAGAAATTTGCACAGCGAGTTTGAGGCGCTGAGACGGCACAAGGCCATGTACGACATCGACCATGCGGACAAAACGGTATTCATATCGACGAAGATACGCATTTCACCATCTACATGTCCTTTGAAGGGCATTTCGAGTTCGTTCTGCTGCCCAGTATGGTCTCTCGTCGTTTCATTCGATGTCACGGCGACTGAGAACCATGGTAAGATTCTTTCCGTGGCATTGGGATCAAGAAGGACTGTACTGGTACCGATATAGAATAGCGCAAGATCGTTTCCCATATTTCGGTAGGTAGCATTGAGGATGATCAGCTGTCACTGAATATCTGACTGCTAGTGATGGTC